GGAGGGAGGGAGAGAGAGGGAGGGAAGATGGGGCAAAGCTACCCAAGGAATGACCATGCCACCAGGACTTGAACAGCCCTGGAGCAACAACTTCAACTTCTACCACAGGTGTGTAGCAAAGAACAGAGGACTCATAACCCTCTGGCTCTTGATGACAGCATGGTTCCTAGTTGGGACAACGCAACATCTCCGAGAGCCTGCTTCTGTTTTTCTGGCCTTTTGAAAGAATCATTGAGACTATTCTACAAAATCTTTTGAATGAACTTTGGGGAAACCAGCTATGGGGCGGGGGTGGGCAAGGTTGAAAACAGGCATTGTCGCCACCACTCGGTGGTTTTTGAATTTAACCCTGAGACAAGTGGCAGCTCCCTTGGAGTTGCAGCCTTCTCCCACCCAAAAAAACCCGCACAGACCCAGGCCCACTCAGCAGACCAAGATGCACAAAGCTCGCTCCTGTTTCAATAAAGGCGGCCTTTGTTCCCATCGAATGCCAATGGTGCTCAAAGAATGGATGACATTTCTGTGTGGCACAGGAGGGGTGTCAACTCGGGGTGGAGTAGGGGAGGAAAGAGAGGAGAAGAAGAATCAGTCTGTTGAGATTCCACCCTGACAAGGCCACCTTTGAAAGCTCATCTGTTCGGTGGCATCAAAACACTCCAAGCATTGTCTCTGGCTATGTTCTCTTTCTCTCTCTCTCCCTCCTCCACACCACACCTGTTCCTTCTGAGTTTTCTTGTGGAGCCTTTTCAGACCCCACTCTTCCTCCTCTCCTCCTCCTGCTCTTCCTCCTCCTCTTCTTCTTCCTCCTCCTCTCCTCCTCTTGCTCCTGCTCTCCTCCTTCTCCTCCTCTTCTTCCTCCTCTTCTTCTTCCTCTTCCTCCTCTCCTCCTGCTGCTCTTCCTCCTCTTCTTCTTCCTCCACTCCTCCTCCTCATCTTCTTCCTCTTCTTCTTCATCTCCTCTTCCTCATCTTCTTCTTCTTCATCTCGTCCTCCTCATCTTCTTCCTCTTCTCTACTTCCTCCATTATCATCATCATCCTCTTCCATACTCCTCCTCTCCTGTATTGCTTCTCTTTGGATATATTGCAGACTCCAGCCTGGTAAAAACAGCAGATGAATTCAAGGCAGAATCAGAATTTGATTTGAATTTAGGAGATGAGAACAAACCAGAATTGTCTAATAAATTAAATACAAAGGTTCCCCTCTCACATATGTGCTAGTCATTTCCGGCTGTAGGGGGCAGTGCTCATCTCCATTACAAAGCCGAAGAGTCAGCACTTTCCGAAGACGTCTCCGTGGTCATGTGGCCGGCATGACTAAATGCCTTTGAAGGCGCATGAACACTGTGACCTTCCCACCAAAGGTGTCCCTACTTTTCTACTTGCATTTTTTACATGGTTTTGAACTGCGAGGTTGGCAGAAGCTGGGAGAAGGAACAGGAACTCACTCTGTTACACGGCACTAGGGATTCGAACCGCCAAACTGCCGACCTTTCTGATAGACAAGCTCAGCGTCTTAGCCACTGAGACACCACATCCCTTTAATAATTACATATACACAATAACAGACGCACACAAATACACACTCTTCATGCTATTTGTTTCATAAAAATCTGTTGTGGCAGCCACCAGTTAAATAAACAAGTGTATCTACCAAATGAAGTTTGATTATGAGATTATATACTGTATGTATATATATATATATATAAAACACAAAAATGCAGTAAAAAAGCTGGAACACACTTTCTCGCTAGTCCAACACATGAAAGCCACAGGTCATAGCATTGACTTCAATGGCACCAAAACCCTAGCCACTATAGAAAACCCCAGCCACAGAATTATCAGAGAAGCCATAGAGATTGAAAAAAGACCCGAAAGCATGAATAGAAGAGATGATTCTACCAGACTGTCAATTATTTGGAAGCCTGCACTCTCAAACAAAAAAATCTCCACACCACAAGCCAGGCAAACAGACAGTGCACAAACAGACTGCCCCCCCCCCCATACCTCCACGTCAAACACACCCCAACCAGGCACCCAGATGAAATCTAGCTTCCTAATAAATGATAGCCGTCCATTTACTCGGAGCCAAGCCGCACTAAAAGCCTCCAATACAGGAAACACAATGTTGCCAGCCAATCAAGACCAAAAAAAACTACAAAACAGACAGAGGATATTAGAAACACCAATCAAGCAGAACACAGCAAACTCCAAGACCAATAAACACAGACCAAGATTCCCAACCAATCAGGATGAAAAAAAAACCCATTCTGGCATGGCGTAGGCTAGCACTAAATTTAAAACAGAAACGGCTGTGAAAGTCTGACTCACAGACGAACACAATACAGAAGCCTGATGGTGGCAGATGAGATTCTGCTGAAACGTTGCTACAACTTTAAAAGCACAGCTATAATGATGTGGGAAAATACCCGAACAAAGCAGAATACCATACATATAAATACCCACGAAAACTTAAGAATATATATATATATAATATAATATATATACCCGAACAAAGCTGCATGCCATACATGTAAGTACCCGCGAAAACTTAAGAAAACGTATATATATATATATGTATGTATGTATGTATGTATGTCTGTCTTTCTGTCTGTCTGTCTGTCTGTCTGTCTGTCTGTCTGTCTGTCTCTAGGTGTGTTCGGGTCTTTTCCCGTGTAATGATGTGGGAAAATACCCGAACAAAGCTGAATATCATACATACATACATGAGTACACACATACATACATAAGTACATACATACATACATACATAAGTACATACACACATAAGTACATATATACA